AGTCGTTCATTTTTATTGTACAGGTATTAAAAATACTTTTATCTCATGATTTCCATCTAAGATACAACGTTGGAAGGGTTTTCCAAACCTTGCTGAAAACATGCATAAAGTCAGGCATTTTTATATAGAATTTACAGACCAAGCCTCTGCAGAAAGGGGTATTGCATCTCTCTTTAGCTTTTCTGGCATTTTGCTGAAAGTAAATTTTGACAGAGATAGTCTTTAAATGCTGCTATGGTGTATGTTACAACTTCTTTGCCAGCATGTTACACACAAGTAGGCAGTTAAAGTGATATCGAGACATCCACCAGTGAGGGGTGTGGTATGCTCTGATTCTATTAGTGCTGGTAGATGTGAGGCTTTAATAAGTACCATTTTGTATCAAAATCTGGTGATGATTGCTTTTGTGTGCAGATATCTAGAGTGTATGTGTTCAATTTATGTCCAAGAAGATATATTTCTGATAATCATTTAGTATGGTTTTAGTTAAAAAATAATTTCATACCACATCTGCATAATGTTAGGTGATTCATATTAAACATCCAGGTTTGTAGAGCGGTTTATTTGAGATCAATAATCATCATGAACAAATAGTATTAACTAAGAGCCATTGAGCCATCATCGGATTATCAGCTTTTCAGTATCTATCATGAAAATTGTCTTGATGTCTTCTCTTCTTTTCCTTTCTCTTTTCAATACCATACACCATATTTTTCATGCATACTATAATATTGTCTAGAAGGTGTATGAGATTGTTTGATAATTGTAATTATGAAAAAAATCATTGTCGCTAAATTCTCTTTTGAGATTGTTTTAATGGGCAATTATCAATGTACTCTTAGGTGCCCTGGGTAAGAGGTTAAACTGCATCCAATCATGTCAAGGCCTAAAAGATGAAACTAGAGACTTCATCTCCAATAAAGCCAGCTGGGCTCTCACTGTGCAGGGAATCTAAATGCAGAATATATGAGAATTAGGGCAGAAAGGAACTGGATATCCTATAACATCATCCTTTACAAATATGATATAGTTGTTTAGCAAGATAAACTGTTCATGAGATGAAAAAATGTACAATTGTTCCAAATAAATCTAGGGAATCTGAAACAACTTAATGGACCAGATAGAGCACCACACAATATCACTGGAGGTATCTCAAGGTCATTCTATGTAATATCAAAAACTCACATTTAATTGCAGGAAATGAAGTCCTTACATTCAGTATATGAAAAAAGATTGTATGCTCATCACATTTTATACCATAAAACATTTTTGGCCTTGTTGCCACAAACCTCAACTCATTATGGCATCCTATCTTGACAATCACTGTTATCTTTCAGTTAGGAAAATGTTACTTATCTGCCATGAGACACTTATTTTTCACATGTAATATGAATCCATGAATTCTCACCTAGATTTTTACATTTTTACAAATATGTGTTCACATATGATATCATTTACAAAAGAAGAATCACTTCTTTGTAGTACATTTTTTATATATGTAATTTTTCTTAAAAATTGTTTTACATCTTGATGTTCAGAACAAAATAGTTAGTTTTGTTTAGAGAATTTTTGAATTCTCATATTTTTAGCAGTGCTTTTTTGTGGGAAACCAGAAATCCATTTTGATTTAGAAGCCATTCTTATCTGTGGATATTTTGTTCCATTCACCTTCCGAGAGATATTCATTACAAATTTACCTATATCAGTAAGAATAGATATAATGTGAAAAAATAAGAATCAGGAACTTGATGATACTTTATTTTTTTTACAAAATTTGAAAATTTACAGAAACTAGGAGAGATAGACCTCAGGTTACTTAAAAGAAGACAGTTTAAAATTGATGTTGAGTAAACTGCTGATCATTAAAAAGAAAAAGGAACCATCACGATGCTCTACAGATAGAAATGGAGAAGAATTTAAAAAGTAGCACAGGTATTTCAGAATGCAAGTATGAATTTCATTACGGGTGAAATGATAGATATAGTGTAGACAGTAGGTTACTAAAACACTGTGCCTCCCTAAGCTCGCAGTAACTGCAAGGTAGATAAGGGAAACAAGCAACAGGTTTTATGTCTTTGGAAGCAATTTTAAGCAGTGTAAAATCAACCCATTATGATTTCATGGTGTATACCCCTTTTTTCACTTAGAAACCATTAGGAGTTGTCTAGGAATATGCGAGAAATGTTTATGAAAAATATGTTTCTGTATTTGCAGTATTTAGAATAAATTTATTCCTGAATAAGTGAATTTTGCAGAATTTTATAAGGGAAAGGAATAAACGTAGAGACATTTAGTAGAATTTTTTTCTTTCTTTCTTTTTTTTTAGGGAAAAAGCACGGAATGGTGTGAGTTGATCGAAAAAAGTGACAGTACAGAACATTTGAACCCGAATGTATCAGAATTGATTTATGCAATATTTGCTTACAAGGCTAATGCTTGTTATCATATAAGCATATGATAATTTTGCCATGTGATCTAACCAACAGACTTCTTTCTAGGTTTGCTTGTGAGTGGAGTGCGTATTGCTTCACATTTTTTTCCAATATACTTATGGATAACCAGTGAAATACTTGATTGCACATCTTTCCTTTTTTTTGTATAAATCATGAAAATTAACAGACTTCAGTTTTGTATTGACAAATACAGCTAGTAAAGATGAAAAGATTAAGATATGATTGTTAAAAAATGTGTGTGTGTGTGTGTGTGTGTGTGTGTGTGTGTGTGTGTGTGTGTGTGTGTGTGTGTGTGTGTGTGTGTGTGTGCCTGTCTTTGTATGTGCATGTGTATTACTGTCCGTCTGTCTGTAGTTTTTGCAATCAATTCTCTTCTAGTCTCAAAATGTCCATGATAATCTTTTTATTGATATTGTTATCCAGTGTGCTTTATAAGGAATATTTTATGAGTTTTTTAAAGAGATATTTCTGATTGAGACCAAAATGTGTCTCCCTTCCCACAGAAGATATCCAGATGAGGAAGAAGATGGCCGTGGGCGACGACGAGACAAAGGAGCAGATGTCCCAGTTTCATCAGCGAGTGAAGAGCGAGGTTGGTTTAGGAAACGCGAAAAGAGTTCCTCTCGAGAACTAGATAGAACTAGTGAAGAGAGGCAGCCGGAAAAATCCCGATGGTTCAGGAAGAGAGACAAGAGTTCATCTCGGGCTCTGAGGACAGGAATTTCCGTCGGGAGGATTCAGACCGGAGGCGGGACAAAGGAAAGAGTAAGGATGAGGCATCAGTGACAGGAAGTGATAGGAGAAAAGGCACAGATGCCAGTGGGAAAGGTAGATCAGCATCTAAAGAAAAGGTAGAAAGCTTGGGCCTAAGAAATCAGGAAGAGGAGGATAGAGGACAGCACCGGAAACGCAGTTCTAGTGATCAGTCCGTTAATCAGGAAAGACTACAAGTGCCAGAACCTACTGTGCGGAGATTATCATCCCCAGAAATTGATAATTCTGGAGTAATAACCGCATCATTACGTATTCCAGTGCCATTAGCCCAAGGAGGAGGACCCTTGGCATTCGCACAAGATAAAGAAATTCCTTTTATTGAAGACTCTAGTACTAGTGATGATAAAAAAAATCGGCAGCGTTCGTCACCACATAAGGGAGGTGGGTCTCCAAGAAATGATATTGCAAGGCAACGTTCAGGTAGTAGTGACTCTTACCTTGGTCAGCCCATTACTGGCACCATGAGCTTTCAACCGCTGACCAAGAAAGGCGGTGATAAACAGAGTCATGACTCCGTTCTCTCTTCATCTTCAGCAGATGTTTACACATTGTCTCCCTCACCTCGTAACACACCTTTGTCTGATGTGTATGCCTCAGGTACATCATCGCCTCTGAGTGGCGCTGGTTCACCTCCTCTTTGGCTTAGTCCTGACTCTGGAACACCAGGACTATCACCACCTAATTCACCCCCACCACAGCCACGCCGTAGGGGTGAGTCGAGCAACAATCCAATAGCACATTCGGTGACTCACACCTTTGGCACCAAACCTCCAGCAACACCGTCAAAAAGTAAAAGTTCCTCATCCGTTGCATCCCACGGACTCTTTCCAATAGGCCGCTCCAAAACTGCAGATAACATTAAGACAGTAACTCATCACACAGAAGGAAGTGGCACTACATCTGAAAGTCGTGATGAAATTGCACGGGAAACACGGGGGCACAGGGACTATGGTGGGGCGTCGCTATACCCGCCGCCGCTATACTGGGGAAAGACACCCAACTGGACACCTTCCAGATATGAGCGCATCAAATGTAAGTGAAGGACAGACACAACTGTGGAAGCGATGGGAGATTATTGCGTCAGATCCAACAGAACCTGAGACATTTGTCTAGCTGAGGAGCCTCCCCACAGGTGAGGAGGCTTTATATAAATGCATATTCTGGCCTAAATGATCATTTAGAAATATCTTTTTCATATCAATCTTTTCTTTCAACAATGATTTGTGTAATATGTATAAAAAAGTCAAAGTATTCTTTTATAGTTTGTGATGAGCTACTAAATCTACCTGATAATCCACAAAGGTTGATTGAAATTATCTATTCAATTATCCACGTGGCAGCATTATCTAAGGTTTTATACAATTGATTAAAATTAATCACAACTGAGAATTTGACACAAAAAAATCAATATGAAATGTAGATTTTTGAATTCAGAAATTTATGAGAATATTATGTAATATATTCACAAAGAAATGAAGATAAAGTGAAAATGCCAAGCATTCTGGATTATCAGGAGAACACATCTTGCAAAGAAATTTTCGGTTTGCATACTAAAAGTGAACAAGTTAATTTGACTAAAAGTGAGTGTTAGATGTACTAAGGCCACAGGTTCAATGTTGAAAGTATAAGAAAATAAAAGTATAAATGATATTGCTGCATTCATCAGAAAGAAAATAGTGGCTGTTACAGAAACTTTTATGACAGCTACTTTTAGAACTTTGAGAGATCAGCTTCAGTGTATTTTGTACAGAAATGTGTAAATGGTGGATAACGCTGTGTGAAAACTGTGTTTAATCGCACTTAATATGTCAGCTGTGATGTTTGTTGAGGAAGTTGCAGTCTGTAAGTCACTCTTTTGTGAAGAACCCTTTTATATAAAGTCAATGTACAATACAAAGAACTGATATATTTCTGGTCTATAAGTGTGTTTTATTTTTTTTTGATATATATATATATATATATATATATATATATATATATATATATATATATATATATATATATATATATATATATATATATATATATATATATATTTAATGGTGATCAGTCATCAGGTATGTAGTAGTGTAAATATACATTTTAAAGTGTTTCCAGTCTGGTTGCAGTCTCAAGAAAAGATATGATGTAATTCTTGTAAGTAATGCTATGAATGCATTGCTTTTGGCAAATATTTTTGTTTAAGAAATCTAGAATCAAAAGGGACAAATGGGAGTAAAAAGTAAAATGCTGAAAATAAGATTAAATACATTTAACCATGCACACAGGATATCGTTATATGCATGTAATCCTCATAATGCAACATGAATAATATACGTAAACAATTTCAACATTGACCAGTTAAAGGAAAATCTAAAAAAAATTCTATAAAATTAATTGTTTAAAGATTTTCTGTAGCCTTTTCTTTATTTCTGCAGTATAAAATCACTGAATGGAACGTGAACTGAAGTTGTCTTGCTAGTCAAGTTTCTATTTACCATGACACTGCCTTATTATCTTCAGATTCTTCTGCTTCCATTATGTTCATATGCCTCTCAGTTTCATAGGATATATACCTGTGTTGAATACCATCGTCAAAAGCTTTTATATACCGCAGCAGTATGTATGTTGTGTAACTGCAAATGATTAACAGTTTCACTGAGGTTTGCCCAAGGTAGCATCCATTACTCTAAGTGAAATTCACCCTCTTTCTCTTAATTTTCAATTATTACCA